GTTTTCTGAGATCACAGGAGGAAACCAAGCTCCTCACAAGTTGCTTTATTGCTGCTGTCGATCTGCCAATATGTCCTGGTTTTTTATATTTGCAATGTGTCTGATTAGTTTACACAGAGTTGTATTTGTCACTTAGTGTCAGGACTCTAAACAATGACTCAAACTCTTTGAAGAGGGGGAGGGGGTCAGCGATATATGAGAGGCGAAGTCCCTCCCCTTCCGGTTGAGCTCCATGGGACCTTATTTCTGAAAAATCATGTATTGAAGTCAATGGGGAGAGAAAGATTATCTTTCGATCCCGTTTTAATTGTGCCACAAATTACACATATGATGTTTGTCAATTTAAAAGATAATTTTGCAAGTCAAAAAAATAAAAATGTGTTGTAAAACTGTGAAGTAACACTTTTTTTGTGTGAAACCGCTCAATGAACTACAACTCCCGTCTCGCACCACACACCAAGATGGCCGTCACGTTGGCACATTTCACCTCTTTCTTTCAGAATGAAGTGAAAAGTATTAAACGAGGTGAAAATCACTCCAAGTCTGGCCATGTTGAGAGCTGTACATACACACAAGGGGAGTTAGTCGGTTCCGTAAGAGCCAGCATGCGGGACCGGGATTCTGGGATTTGTAGTCTTTCTAGTATATTTCAGCAGTTTTATGACAAACTGTGACTTTTTTGACATGGAAATGATTATTTAAGATTGACAAACATCATATGTGTAATTCGTGGCACAATTAAAACGGGATCGAAAGATAAGTTTTATCTCTCCATTGACTTCAATACAAACTTTTTCCGAAATAAGGTCCCATGAGTCCCACCGGAAGGGGAGGGACTTCGTCTCTCTATTTACCTTTGTGGATCTATTAAGAATTACTATCAATATGATCCATCATGTACATGAGCTGCTTTTAATCATACACATGAAAAGCTAGATACATTATATTTCAGAGCAGAACTCATTTTCATTTAGCTCTCAGATATTAATCATGTACAGTAATTGTCGGTGCAGCCCACGGCTTTTTTTGCAGAATGTCACTGCAGGAATATTCATAACTTATACTAAATCTGGATTCATATAAACATGGATTATGCAAGACTACAAATCCACCCACCTGATGTCCTACATATAGAAGCTAATCACAGCGGAGGAGCTTGTTAAAAAAAAAAAGAAAGCCTGAAGACATGGAGGACTTTGTTTTCCATTTTGTTCGCCCACACAAACATGCTGTATATCACAAGTTGAGTGTTTCTTTCCCTCTCTTGTTTGCACGTAAAGTATTTAATTTCTTATGCAGTAACCAAAACATGTAATTACATTTAGCTAATTAGTATATTAGTTCTTGAATATTAGAATTGATACTTTTAGATGCAGCCCTCCACATAAGCATTTAAAAGCAACATTTAAGAAATTATTTATAATACACGATAAAGTTGGTTTAAGTCTTTAGTAATCTATTATTAATGACCAGAACTTCTCCTGAAGACATTTAAAATCTGTGCTTAAATATATAATGAATGATAAAAGTGTGAATATCTACATTTATAAAAGTCTCTGTCGGTGTCCTTCGACATTTTTATTCGATTATTACAATTATTGCTTTTATATGCAAAATAGGGTAACAATTTCAGATCAACCTATCTTTTTCACTACAAATATAAATTCACAACTAACCGCATCGCTGTTTGGAAAAAAAGCTGTTTTTTAGATTACTTTCATTACAAGGAAACCTTATTGAAGCCCATAACTCATTATCTTTAGGGCAAAGGATGCAGTCTGTACTTTTTCGACCATGCAATTTCCTCCTAAAAGCACAACCGTTATTTTATACTATAAATCATTTAAAGTGTTTTTTTTAAAATCTCTTTTTAATGGCTTTGGAAGGTTACGTAGTTTTGCAGTGGAACATTTCCCAAGTAAGCGCAATAACCTAAAAAGCTATGACCTGAAAGAGAGGAAACACTGCGTTTGATCCTGACAGCACCAGCTCTCAAACTGTCACAGCGCTGCCGTCCCGTGAAGCAGCTGCATCTGAACAAATAAACTGAGGATGTTTTCAGGATGTCAGGCAATATGACGTTACGGGAGCCAGCTTTCAAAGCGATCCTGTCTGCCTCAGTTAATGCAGATATAGAGGTAAATAGATGGACAGGATCAGAGGGGAATATTCGATTTCAATTCTGTTTCTGTAAAGAAAGGCTTTGGCATCTGCATCCACCAGTCAACACATGTTTACCTCTGCTAACATGAACCTTGATTACTTCTGCAGAGTGAAACATCTAAAATATAACCTCTCTCCCGCCCAGAGATAGACAAGATGGTTCAGATTATGTTTTGACTTTTATGAGGATATCTGTTCAATTGAAATGTTAATGTGCACCCCAATAATCAGACTTGTGTCTTGTGTTGACAACTTAAAAGCTACAGATTAAAATCACTCTTTTAGCAAGACACTAAGCCTTTATCTCCTCTTCCACTTCAAATCACAGCGTATATGTGTCAGCCAAATGTCTGTAAATTCTCAGTTTTACGTACAATATGTTCGTGCTCCATTTCCATTTAATACCTATCTTCTGAGGGTTGTATATAGCTGTATTGATGGGTGGTGGGGAATGGGCAACCATTATAATCCATCCTTGTCTCACTTATGATGAGGAACGGCAGTCGGACTCCCAGTGGCTCATTAATGATGAAGATAAATACTGGCAGAGCTTCCCTCAACATTATTTCTATGAATGATTTTTCAAACCCTTTCACTCCTTTTACTGATATAAAAGTTAAGATTATGTTTGCAAAAACCACAGGGGTATGACAATGACACTAGGGTTATCAGGATAGGATAAAGTTGACATTGAAAAATATTAGCGACAACCGGATTTACAGTCTACAAACAGGGGTTAATATGTCCCACCATTAGTCTGCTTATAATATGTGGTATGAGGACTATGTTTTTGAAGCCTCAAATTTGAAAGTTGCCTGTCCGTTTTTTTCTTTGTAAAAACCAGTGAAAAGAGATACAATCACCTAAACCAAAAAAACACTGTGATAGGGTTAAAGTCTCAAGAAAAACGCAGAAAAACCAACGGGACAACACCTTCTGGTAACGACCTGTCAATCATAAGTTAGTTATTCCCTAGCCTAGAGTATATCCTGCTTCATAATTTATTTAACTCTCGATTGGCCCATGACATCACGCTATATTGTAGAAATCTTGAGACTATTGATTGAGACCATAAACTCGTCAGGAAAATGTTTACTGAGCACCAATCAAGTATGAAAACTAGCTGGACTTCGTTACAAACAAACTTATATTTGAAACCAATGGAGTGGCCACCTGCTTGCCATTAAAAAAACAAAGCAGGTTTAAGGCACTTCTGCTCAGGCTTCACTTTCCAGACCTGGAGATTGGCCCTTGGTCCAGCCATAAATAAATCGGTTTTGATATATAGTTCAAAGTCTCTTTTCTCCAGTTAATAGCACGATCCCAAAATTACACTGATGTATCTGTATATGGATGTATATTCCATTCAGTAACTGTTTACAAGTGAGCGGCAGTGGAAACGTCCTGCTGGGTCGGCCCGTCTGTAATTGACTGTGACAGACAGCAGGGGTTGTTTTGAGTAGATTATTTCAAGTGAGATTGGGCTTTGGCAAGGTGTGTTAGTCGCAATGAGAATTACAGAGCCTCCTTCTTTAGCTTCCTTCAAGTTGCCTTCATGCAGTGGCAGTGGCTCAGTCAGCAGGGGCTTGGACTGGGAGCTTAGGGTCGCCGGTTCAAGTCCCCAAACAGACTCAAAATATGGAGTGTGGACTGCTACTTGGAGAGGTCCCAGTTCACATCCTGGGCTCTGCTGTGGTGTCCTTGATCAAGACACCGGACACCCCCCCCACTCCCATTGCTCCCCGGGCCATGTACAATAGCTGCCCACGGCTCCTTCTACTAGGATGGGTTAAATGCAGAGAACACATGTCACTGTGTGTGCTGTGTGATCTGCATGTGTGACCATTAAAGAGGGGTTCATCCCTCCGATTCTATCTACATGTCCAGATAGAATAACAAACACTACTAGACTACTATACCATAAAAAAATCTGAGATGCAGAAGAGGAACATTTGGTTTCTCTATTACTTTAGAAAAAGTCCAATGTCCAAAAGAGACTATCTTAGTATGAACTTTAAAGAATAAATACATTTTGAAAATTGTAATTTAATAATTATAATAACGCCCCTGGTAAATTAAACCCTATATGATGTGGAGTACCAAGATAGTGTGTGCTTGGATCAGCTCCTATATTTCACTGTATGATTGTAACTTATGTTGTGTCACTGAGGAGAAGCTTCTATAATACTGAAGTTCTACAGGCAATATAAAGTGATTTATTTACAACAGAAAAGCTGAGAGGAGGTCTGCTTGATTTACAGGGATGACATTTTTATAATATGCAGTTTTGCTTCATCTCTCGCCTTCACTTTTCTCTGTGATTGACGTTACACTGTCGAGTGCCAGCAGCCTGATGCGTCAGATGAAACCTGCTGGGCTGAGCTGCAGTCAACTGATATTAAACATTTTACAATTGCATCTGACACTTGATCTACACACAGAAAATATATGACAACACTCATGACGGACGCACAAAGTCTGTAGAAAAAGAAAATGTAATACACCAGGATGCTGACCACAGCAGAAAAAAACATGTTCTGTAAATGGTTGCAGCACTCTACTGTAGATGCATCAGTCATTATAATTTAAGATAACGTTTCCTCATATAAAGTCTTTATCAGGTAGAAATAAAATAATATTACCTGGAGATTTCTAACTGTATAATGTCTTGGTTCTTTTGTTACTGCACGTTGCCCTTATAAATGATTGATGCATCAAGACTAAGGTGTTGCAACCACACACAAACGCGTTACAAAATGTGCAGCCATTTTGCAAACCTTGCAAACCTTGCAGGGCGTACACACCCACCCACACACACACACCCACACACAATGTACCTAGCTCTTTCAGCAGGGAGCCGTTCTCTGCCTTCAACCTCTCCTTTTTCTTCTCGGGACTACTCTTCCTCCTCTCCTTTCCTTTGTCCTTCACTCCATTCTGCTTCCTCTTTTCTCCTTTCTCGTTTTTATCTGCAGGGAGACACAGAATAGGGGCTCAGGTTAGGGGTGGGTTATTCAATTTAAGCTGGAAAGCAACATTGAACGTTTTTATTTTTCCTTAGGTGGCATTTGAGGGAGAATGTAGCATACAAGAATATTAAAGCTGGAGAAAGTAAGTGCAATATTAGATCCATATTGTTGAAATATATACACTGCAAAGGAAAACACCTGACATGCCAACTGTATTTTGCAAAATAGTAAGAATGCGAAGGACCTTTGGACGTAAACATAGCTAGTAAGGCAGATAGTAATTACATCGAAATAAAAAAAGGCAAAAAATGAATTAACCCTCCTATTGTCTTCGTTTCCCCCCCCCTTACTTTGGTGTTCGCGGTCAAATTTGACCGGTCCTGTTATTACATTAACACAAAAACCATTAATCATCACTGAACATGTATTGCGTGTGCCAGGTGTGATCCATGTGGGGGGATGGGCACATAAGAGCGGGAAATGTGTCAAATTGTTCTGTGTGTGTGTGTTTGTGAGTGCCAGGTGTGATTCACATGGGGGGATTGGGCACATAAGGAGGGAGAACACATCTATAGTATGTGTGTGTGTGTGTGTTTTATCTGATCCGGATGGTTACTAATTCCTTTTCTTTATGGCGGTCATTTTACAAAGTTGACTAAATCATCAAAAATGCAATGTAAGTGGTGATCAGCAATTTGATATGTTCAAATGTCTACTGTGAAGGATATCATAAAGCCTTAATGCAATCGAATGTAAAACAAAAAAGTTATGATTGATGAAAGTAGTAAATCGGTCAGATTTGACCCGAAGACAACAGGAGGGTTAAAGGCTAGACTAGAGGAAGTAGAGTTTCAACACATTAAAAAAACATACAGTACACAAGTGCAAAAAAAGCCAATATTTAGTTATTTTTAGGACATGATCCTAGCTAGGCACACATGCTCATAAGGTGAGAGCTAATTTGTGGTTGCAGGAAAGGAAAGGTGGCATCGGCAAAATGTGACCCACCTCCTGATGAGGTGTGCGGAGAGAGCGATGGTTCATCTTCAGTGGCACATACACCCTGCTGCTATACCCTGATAAAACCCCAAGACTCGGGACGCATGCTAATGCTTGTCTTTAAGGTTGTTTAGTATTCTAGTTAAAGTTTGAGGCGAGGGCTGACAAATTGAAAGCCCATGTGACTGTGATCAAAGATACCGTTAATCTCAACTAAATAAAAGATTAGTCCTGGGGTTCCACTACTAATGTACATTTTGAGTTTACTTTAGTTTAGTACATTCTACTTCTATTCCACTACAATTGAGATGAAAATACACTACATTAATTTAATTACTTAAGAAATAAATAATGATATATTAAAATAAGTCAAGTTAAGAAGAAATGTTATTGATACATGAAGTACATTCTCAAGCTAGGCTGAATTGTATGTAAAGCTATTTAGTTAGCCCCACCCTTACCAGCTAGCAAATTGATGACCACAGTAATGCATTTATACTTATTATCCACAAATAAAATATTATATATTATGAAAAAATATGTTTTGAGTCTAATGCTTTTGTATGTTTACTTGTTACAGAGTATTTATTCACTGTTGTATTACTACTTTTACTTAAAGAGCCTGTGACACGAGTTTCCCCCATCATCCAAACCCATCAATTTGAGTAAATATTGTCCCCTTGAAAACCGTTACTGAACTGATTTTGGATATTTGTACTTTGATAACCATTAATATGCCCTTCGATGTTGACCATTTTCTGGATCTTCTCGGGGATTCTTCAAGTCCCGCCAAATTATGTGTGACGTCATTGCGGGCACAGCGCTCCAGCTGCACCGTTCAGGATCCCAGCATCTGCATGTAAACACGATGGCGCACACAGCAGCAAGCTCAGACAGCGATGACAGTTTAATTTTGAATGTGTCTGAGAGCTCATATGAGGCTGAAGGATCGGTTTATGTTGTATCTGTTAGAAGTTTAGGAATTAGGTGCGTCAATATGGGCGATCATACGGTCATGTAGCCAGTGGTGGACTGGGACTAAAAATCATCCCGGGACTCTCGACCGGCCCACTTCGGTACCGCTAGTAAATTGTCAACGGGGGGAGTGGGGGATGTCAGGGGCGGCGGGTGCTGTAGATAGTAAATGTAAATATGTAAATATTTGTGTCACTGCATCCTGGTAAAATACAAATATAATGCAATGTCTGTGTTTGACATTAGCGCTGCTAGCCACCTGTGCCCTGTACTATGAAGCCAGTTCAACATACCCTGGATCAGAGCCTCTGCCCTGGATATGTTTGAGTAACAAACAAACTAACAACAACACACTAACAAATGAGTTCTCGCTAAGCGGTCCTACGACGCTGGTTATCAACTCGGTAAATCAAGCCAGGGTTTCTCTCACCAGCTGAGAGCGCGTTCATGTCTAACCCCGAAAACACACCAGGAGCGTCTGCGCCGCGTTACGTTGCGGCTGCGCCACGCTGCGACCTCCTCCTGCGACAACGCACACCAGACGCGTTTCAAAACGTTGCGGAAGCGGAGCGTCGTGTGTGCAGCCTCGCAGTTGTTGTTGATTTTGGAATATTTCCTGGACATTTGTACTTCTACAAGTAAGTAGGCTATACGTAGTTAAATAGTTTATGTTTGTGTTTGTTTAAATCGTGTTTATTGTTGTTATTTCCTATTTTGTTGTGTTGTAGACTACAGACACAGTTAATAATAATTGTAATACTCCAGTTATAAACGACATGAATCAAAGATGTGTTGCTGTATTTTAGTGGTAAAAAAATATGCATTCATCATCATAATTATTCTATATATATATATCATTTACAGTGCCTGTAAACCGGAGGAGAACGCTGGCATGCATTCTCCTACTTGAAAGACTATGGATGGGGGGAGGAGTTTACCTTACTGCTGCGCCGCGGCAAAAATAGGATTCATCCTAATTTTAGAGAAGCGCTGCTCCGAGCCGCTTCTGGGACGCGTCTGAGCCGTAACGCGGCGCGTGTGGTGAAAACTAGAGTGGCCGCGACCCTTACGACCGCCGCGGCGCGGCCGTAACGCGACGCAGACGCTCCTGGTGTGTTTTGGGGGTAAGACACGAGTGGATCTGACTTTAATTAGGCTACATTTGTATGGGCATAGATATGTCTCATAATTATTTGTGTGAACATAAAAATAATTTGTGTGTAAATATGTGATTTGTAAATGTAAAACAACATCCACAAATGCATTTAAAAGATTTGCAAACTCACAAATACATTTGCAAGTGTAAAACGGATCTGCAAATACACTAAATATGTTCACAAATAAAAAAAAGATCTGTGAATATCTCTTTAACATTTACACCTTTCGATCAGTCATTTGTGAATCCAATTTGTATTTGTGGACCAAAAATGCGCTTGCGGATCTCAAATCTCTGTTCACGGATCTCAAATCTCTGTTCGCGGATCGTCTTTTTACACACACGGAATTTTGAGACATATTTTCCGCCGGTCTCGGCTCAAATCTACTCGTGTCACTCGGTTATTTTCGGAAACCACGTGATGGCCTGCTGATGGCGACATTTCCGCATGATTTCAAAGTAAGAGGTCCCGGGGGAGCAGCTGGCAGCTGTTTCGCTGCCAGCTGCTCCCCCGGGACCCGAAAGTGGCGTATAGCCTGCACTTCAACATCAACGAAAGTGCTCGATATATGCTATATTGAATCAATAACACAAACTAACTGTATCACTATAACATGATGATGATGGTGATGGTGATGAAAAATGCATCTAACGTTCCGCTGTTCATTATAATACAAAAACAGAGCATTAAACAAACCATCATGCTCTTACTTTGAAATCATGCGGAAATGTCGCCATCAGCAGGCCATCACGTGGTTTCCGAAAAATAACCGAGTGACACGAGTAGATTTGAGCCGAGACCGGCGGAAAATATGTCTCAAAATTCCGTGTGTGTAAAAAGACGATCCGCGAACAGAGATTTGAGATCCGCGAACAGAGATTTGAGATCCGTGAACAGAGATTTGAGATCCGCAAGCGCATTTTTGGTCCACAAATACAAAATGGATTCACAAATGACTGATCAAAAGGTGTAAATGTTAAAGAGATATTCACAGATCTTTTTTTTATTTGTGAACATATTTAGCGTATTTGCAGATCCGTTTTACACTTGCAAATGTATTTGTGAGAATGTTCTTCCTCTACCAAAAATGGTCACTACCGAAACATAGTACTACATACACTGTAGTAAAAAAGTATTATATTAACCTGTTAAGATTGTTTTACCTTTAAATGCATTTGTGGATGTTGTTTTACATTTACAAATCACATATTTACACACAAATTATTTTTATGTTCACACAAATAATTATGAGACATATCTATGCCCATACATTTGACTCGAGTGTTTCGTCAACATAATGTGTTGCTTAAAATAATACTTCTGCATACAGTATGTGACACTGTAAGTGTTGCACGGCCAGATACGGCTGGAGAAGCTGACTGAGATAAGGAAATATATGATATATTATGATATTATATGATCGATGATCTGATTGATGATGTAATATGAATGATAAGTGCGACACGTCGGCGTCTTCTCTGCATACGGCAGTTTAAACTGTATTTCCTTTATCCTGTAATATGACTTGAGAGATTTAAACTCCGCACACTGAGTTGATCTCTTTTCTATAGACGCCGGAGGCGTAAAAAAAGTTATTTAGCCTTCCCAAACCTGAGCCTCACGCGCCGCCTATGGGGGATGTGCTAGTGACTTATCCGACCGGCCCACTTCGGTACCGGCCCATCGGGATTCGTCCCGATGGCCAGTCCGCCACTGCACCCAGCCCACGTAAACTGTCAACGGGGGAGCCTCGCTGCGGGGAAACGGTGGACCTAGTGTCCCGATCGGAGTGGGAATAATAATAATAATAATCCGTGCATTTTATCCATTAATTTCCCCAACATTGTGGTGAAAAAACCACACGTTTAA